TTTTTTTTTTTTTTTTTTTTGGAAAACATAATTTTTAATTAGTCAGAAATTTGTATATGTACAGTAAGCTGAAATGCATTAATGCAGAGTGCCAGTTTGCAGACAAGAAAAGCTGTAATTCGTGAAATGTCTCATCTTGTCAAAATTGGTTTATTGGTGGAAGAGACTTCTCATGTTCTTTCGGAATTGCTCCAGCTGACTGATAGAAATGATGAGACAACGATGGTCAATGACCTCCTTGTCCGTTTTCTAAAATCTTATCCTAAAGGTTTTAATTTCTTTGTTTTACTTGATTTATTATTTTTTTATGTGGTTTGTATTTGCCCTGTCTTGTGCGATGCTGTTTAACAATTTGGTAACATTCCGATGCAAATTGACAATTTCTTGAAGCAGATGGAAGAGAACAATCTTTTGATTGTTCACATTGCATTATCTGCACATCTTCGTTTTCAGAAGTCTTAAGTGCTATTTTTAAAAACATAACCGCTTCAAAAGAAGAGCCATATCGTATCTGCTTACTCAAGTTTATAAGTGCGCATATCAGTGACGTAACCCCTTCTCTTTTCACTGAGGATTTAAAGAAGATGATCGAAGATCAGTATCGCGAGGTAATTTAAGCTTTAGCTGTTGCCTATACCCAAATCGTTTTTTTTCGTTCCAGTTCTCTCTGAAAGTTGCCACAGTAATAACCACTGCTATTTTCAGATACTTAGAGATGTTACAGCGGCGGAGTTTGATTTGATTTTCGGCACAATGAGGTCTATGGAATGTTATAAAAGTGTGAAAGGGAGATTGTCGCTGTACAATATTGTTGTAGAACAGATTGACATTGAACAGCGGCTACTAGTATGACTTTTTGCTCTTATACTTTATCATATTGGATTTTTTAAAAAAAGGGAGAACAATTAGCGAATTGTCAGACAGTTTGAAATCACTATGAAATGTAACTTTCTAAGTAGAATTGCTTCTATAATCTAATATAGGGACAATGGTGCAAGTGTTTGCAAAGATACGTTTAAATTCTTTTTTTGAAGGTCAACGATGTGCAGAGATGTGACCAGGTTTTATACTTTGCTGAAAGAACACAAGTCCTTCTTTCAGTATGTTTGTGTTTACTAAATGCCTTCTCTTTTTGTTTCTGATTTTATTAACATTATATGAATGTAAACTGCGACAAGAATTTCTAATTTTCGTTAAGGAATCGTGATTTTAGGGGAATTGTCGCAGTACAGATCTGGTAAATTTTCTGATATCAAGCTTGCGAGATTTCCGAAAGAGTTTTCCTGGACTACGAAATCGCTACCTTCGAACAATTGCAGATCTCATGCCTTTTGCGGGGACTCTGGAGGAGTCACATGTTGTAGAAATGTTTGTGGAGTTTATGGTCAGTGGGTTAATTTGATGAATTTACAAAAGGTTTTTTTACTTTAGCTATTAAACACTCACTCTAATCTGGTAAATGCTTTAGTGGCTGATTGATTTTCAGATTCTTATACCTGCTATGCCATCAGAAAATGGAGACAGTGTTGAAATTAAGCTAGGTAACAATGAAAAAGGGCCTGAGCATGAATTGAAGTTGAATGAACTTGAGGCGCTGGGAATTGCTGTTTGTACAGCTTTCAAAAGCAATAAAGAAGTTTTCCATAAAATACGGTCTAATAGCTTTGATCTTCAACTTGAGCAAAGTGCTGTCGAGAACTGGCTGAAAAGGTATGTTTACGGTGCTTTCAGTGCGTATGTTTCTGCTTGCTTATGTATAAAATCCTTGTTTTAGGATGCTTTACTTGGCCCGTCTATTGCAACAGTATATTACTGAGGGTAAAAGTGAATTAAAAAAAATCGTAGAAACTCCATCTCCTAAGCAGGACAGCGACAAGCAGAAGACGCTTGAAAATTCGATTAAGAAGGCGGAAAATGTGTTAAAATTGGCAAAAGACCTTGTACATACCACGCCAACGTTTGCATCAGTGCTGCCTAGTTGGAAAGATACATCTAGTGCAAAATCGGCTGCTGTGTAATCTTTTCTTCTTTTATCTACGAATGCTTCTTTTTTTATTCTTTCTTAATTTTTTGTTATAGGTTTACTGAAAATAAAATGTGCTTATTTTTGCTGTTGCTCGGGTTCTTTCAAATAAGATGTTTTTTTAGAAAGCATAAACTCAAAGAAACCAGCAATACTCCGAACACTCTACCGGAAAAAAAGGGAAGACCTGCACCTGACGTATATGTTCCTCCTAGCGGAAAGTACAGCAGTAAGTTTTTGCTTCAAATTGTTTAGCAAATAGGTTGAATGTTTTGTATTACATCGTTTATTCCAAAATACTTCAACATTAATTTTTTGAAACTTTTGTGCGTAGTGTCATTAATGGTAAGTTGCAATATCTCGACTTGTTAGGTACGTTTGCTGGAAAATCAGTTGGTCGAACGTTTCGAGGCGCCTCTCGCGGTCGCCGTGGACGCTTTTAGATTGAAATTATTTCCTCATATGATCTCTTTGAGTGCGTTTGCGTATTTATGACCTACGATTCAAATTACTTTCGCTATTTACCTCTTCAGAGGAATTTTGCCTTGAAGTTTCAATTTAACTGGCCTTTCAAACTTTCTCAGTCGCTGTTACGCTAACGTTTTTAGAATTAGATGCAAATAGCCGGTTTTTTGAATTTAGCGCTAGTACATAGCCACAGTTTTTTTGAGACGGTTGAGTGATTTTTCTGGAATTATATATTCACTTCTTACTTCTTTTTTTTAAGAGATAAAGTCAGTGAAAACTAAGGCTTACTAGTTCGTTTTTGAGTTTTACTAAAGTTGTTTACAGTCGTCTTGTTACCATTGTTTAACATTTATCATGGCGTTGATTTATTTCATTGGGCTTTGTTTGGATTTATTAACTGCCGTCACCGTTTCCTGTTTGATTTTTTCTGTTTCGTGAATTGCATACTTCTATTGTTATGATTTTGCTTTGGGTCCTTATCAGTGGGTTTTTTGAAATAGATATATTGGGTCATAATGGTTTGGCTTATCAGAACTCATTTGGATAGAAAAAAGATTATAAGCATTTTATGGCGAAGAATAAAAGTCACTGCCTTGTTACGGTCGTTTCTTCGCTTATTTTTTGCCAAATGCTTTATTAGGCTTTTTTAGCCAGATAGACAGCAGTTACGGTTTGTGCAGCTAGTTTGATTTCCCAGTATGGTTCTTATAATTTGGCTAGGGAGTTCACAGACTGTTGATATCATATCTCCCATAAGTTGACTTTGATGGGAGATTTTCATTGTTAGGCTACTGTTAATTACATTAGATGGTATCGGCTTCATCGGCTTCAAGTGAAGAATACCCAATACGCATTTTGGGAAATGGAATTGACGAGAAAGTCGAGTAAGGGATGTGCGTTTGGGTTTTTTTCTGAAGGTGGTTATTGGGGTCAGAACTACCGGGATTTGAGGATTTGTTTGTTATGTGGATTAGAAGGGCAGTAGATCCTTTCCTTTAGGAAGGTGAGATAGAATGAGTATTGTTTTTTGTTAAAATGTTTAGTGCTGTTATTGATTTGCTATTTCACACTTGTTGCCAGTTTTTGCTCGATGTCTTGCAGTAAACGAATAAATGTAAGGAACTGACAGTTATTTATCTGCGACATTCACTTGCATTATTGGAAAAAAGTAGTGCATTTTCTGTAGTCATATGCACGTATTAATGGTCTTGTGTACGGGATAAATTTGTGGTTTTTTAGGCACGTTAGCTTCTAC